CTAAACCCTAAACCCTAAGGGCTTCAAGGCTTAAGGTTTCGGGTCTCGAGGTAAGGAGCTTAAGACTTCGAGTTGAGGCTTGGCTGTAAAGCTTCTTTTCTCGAGATTATAGAGTTCTTCCATGCTCTCAATGGTAGTGTCGTTATTGCAGCAAGCTCTCAGCAAGGGAACTCGACCCCTGAAGCCTAGGACTGCAAGAATCAAGACCCCATGTCCTTCCCTAAACCCTAAACCCTTCAGCAAATGGGGATCCTACATGTCACCCTTGGCCCTGGTCTGTCTAAGAACCTACTTCTTCATCCATGCATGGCATGTAAGAATGTATGCCTTAGGGTTTTGGGTTTTGGATGTAAGAATGTATGCATGCGTGAAAGTATGAATGCATTCATGTATGTACCTATGTGTAAATGTACATATGAAGATCATGCAGACGTGTACAACTACATCAGCGAAAGAAACATGATCAACCACTTTAACGAGTAAATCACCAAGTCTTTTGGCACATGAAGAAATAAACAACTAGATAGATTCAGAATTATGCGCCTGCATGCCGCTGTGTCTCTCTCTCGCTCTCTCTCTCTCTCTCAAACTCTAAACCCTAAACCCTAAACCGTAAACCCTAAACCCTTCTCTCTCTCTCTCTATCTACCTCCTGCTTTCCCCGTTAGTGGAGACCTTGCCTTCGCGCACCCGCTGGCGCCGTGGGCGGCTCCTGTCCCCCAATCGGGACATGAGGATTTAGGGGAGTATGGGGCATAGTGGGTTTGGGGTTTAGGCTGTCTGGGCCCCACCAACCGAGCAAGAAAACCGACCACACAAAGCAAAGGTCGCTTGAAGCAGACATGAGGAATGCACTCAACTCTTTAGAAGGCCTATTCTGATGACATGAAGCGCTTACCTTGAAGCCTGCAAGGAGCCAGGCGTTCTGGGTACTGTAGGGGCCTTAATTATTAGAATAGGGTTTGGGTGTATATTCTACTCTAGATATAACAAGGAACCCCTAAAAAGGTAGTAAAGGTAGTTAATTATTTAGGCCCTTTATATAAGAACTGAAGGAAACTACAGGTGGGGAGTTTAGGGTTTCTCGGGCTTCTATAAGGCTTCTATAAGGTATATCGACCTTCTATAAGGCTCCTATAACGGTAACTACCCACCTGAAAATGTCCTAGAATGAATTCAACATTCGGAAAACAACACAAACTCAACTCCTCAAGCTAGAATTCCTGCAAATCCGGAGCCCGAAACGCCTTTGAGTCCAAACCATGAGAAGCCTGACCCTAAGGGTCCATGTAATCTAGGGGCCTTGATAATTCTTACTGTGGTAATGATTCAGGCCCCTACAGCACACGAAAGATTAGATTAGGTTGAATACTTCCCCCCCCACACGGTTATAGTCTACAATGGCTCTACTAGTAAGGGCCTTCTATAACCATGTTATCAACATTGTGCAACTGTTGCTGAGCGGGGGCAGTATCCAAAAGTTCGGCTTTAGGTTCAGCTTGGTTCTGGGTTACAACCTGCCGGAGATCTCGCGCCTCGACGGTTTTGCCCATCTTCATCATCACCTGATCTCTGCTTGGGCTGGGACGAAAATAAGTGTAGAAAAATTCAAGAAAGCCTGGGGGTATGCCAGACTCAAACTATAACTAGAATACGACTTTCTTTCTCTCTCTCTATATATATGTATAAATGAATACTATTGGTAGTTGTTCCGCCCGCGTTATTCTATTGAACTTTTTGGCTCGAAGAACACAATATACTATTTGTTACCCAATCAAACCCTGTCGACACGCTGCAGCACCCTTAAATACCACAATGCTACACCATAAATCACTGAAAGCCTACACCCTAAAGCCCAGACCCTAAATCCTGAAACCTGAACCCTAAATAAATCCCAAAACCCTAAGCCCTAAACCAAACCCTAAACCCTAAACGCCTTAATTTTAGAGCTTATGCAGCATGATGCACAATGGAAGAACCAGTCTGAGTATCCCTTATAGCCCCTACATTACAAGACTGTGATCTAAACCAAACCACTATTCGAGTTATTTCGGCGCGATCATAAATTCGCAACCCCAAAGCCTTTCTGATAGAACCCCTATATTGATCCCTTTAGACTCTAGACCCTTTACATGAGTGCGATTCTAACTGCTAAGGCCTTGGTACCACTTGGACCCTTGCGGGGTAATCACCCGAAGACATGCACTATGTAGGTTTCAAAACTCCATGAGTTGTGAATAATCTGTGGTTGCATCCGCTTTTGGTCTCGCATACAGTAACATACCCAAAACCCAACTAGTAAGACCCGAATATTCAATGCAGAGTCAGAAACTAAGAATCCCGTGGTAGCACCTATTCCGGAAGAAAGCTTTCATAAGAGGCAGGGTCTGCTGCAAGCAAAACACAATGAGCTACCTTGAGGCTCTATATACCCCAAAAACCCTCCAGGCCGTGAATCGAAACCAACCATAGACGACCCTAAACCCTAAACCCTAAAGTGAATCGAAGCCATCAATCTTGAAATCTGCCCCTGTGAATCTAACCCTAAACCCTAAACGTGAGCCCACGGCTTGTCTCTTGATCTCGGTCATGCCCTGCACAAGGGCGGTGAAAGTGAAGCTTCACGAGGCGAGGATGCTGCTAAAACCCTAATATAGGAGCCTGAATACTCAGAAAAGGGTTCCTTTAAGGGCTCCTTTAACGCGGTTACTATAAGGGATACTAAAGGGTTTAATGTAGGGGCCATAATAATTAGAACCGGGTTTTGGTGCCCATTATGCTATAGTTACAATAAGGAGCCCCAAAAATAGTATTGGTAGTTATTTAGGCCCCTATATTAGATGAGAGTAGCAGGCTCTGAACCCAAAGGCGGTCACGAAAATGCCAATGCTGCAGCGGATGGAAGCCTGGCGTTTTGCCCTACTTCAAGCCTGCATCAGGATTTGGGGTTTAATATAGGGGCCTTAATAATTCGAATAAGGATTTGGGGCCCTTTATAGTAAAGTTCTAGTAAGGAAACCCCCCAAAACAGTATAGGTAATTATTGAGGCCCCTACATTGAGCCTTTAGGCTTCGTCTGCACCTTCTTCATACCTAGTGTAGAGTCTCCAGAGCAGTTCCTTACTGGCTGAAAGGCCCCGGCCATAAAAGTTGAAACTTTTATAC